AGACCATAGTGGTAACGAAATTATAATTAGTAACAAGGTCCTACTTCTTAATAAAACGTCAAAATCGGAAGTTTACAATCGAGAATTGTAGTTATCGGTCCCGTTAATTTTGGTATTTTGCCTTAAAAATAGGACTTTAAGTAGTAAATGTTCTAAGATCAAAATATTATTTATTTATCGTTTCGTTGTAGGTGTAAAGCTCTGAGGATCGAAGAGAAATTGACACAACATGAAATAAGATACAAAGAAAAAGCAACCGAATGCTCTCAGCTTCTGAAGGATTTAGAAGAATCCAGGATTGAAAACAGTCGATCATTGGGCCGTTGTAAAGAAAGAGCAGACTCTATGCGCAGATACTTGCAAACGCAAATTTCAGAACTAGAGCGACAATTAATACAGAGCCGAGCTCACTGTAGAGCCTGCCAAAAAGAGCGAGATGAGGTACATTTAAAATATCATACAATATATGTATATAATTTCTAGTAAACAATAGCCGGCAGAGTATTTATAATGTACCTATGATTTGTGAATAGATAGTCGTCTTAAATGGTAAGTACCTAGATGTTTTTATATCATGAATACCTATATAAATTTAATTAATGAATTGTTTATTTCTATAAAAAACTTAAATAACAACTATACTTAAATAAAATTAAAACTAAATATTACTAAATTAAATATATGCAACTTAAGATTAAAATTAATTATAGGAAAAATAAACTATTTATAAGGCATCGAAAAACTCGTCCGCATCGACGTCAGTCATTTCGATTTAATTAAAATAACTTCATATGTAGTTTAGTCAGATCCTTTAGCTACTAATCAATAACATTGTAGTTAATTAGGTAATAAGCTTGTTTTATTTTTTTAATTTTTAAATACGTGGTCCCACATTAAGATCTTCTCCTGTGTCGTGGGTGCATTTACAAACATACAAGTTCACATACACATTGACCACCCAGACCGAAACAACTATTTGTAGTGTTTCGGTCAAACTGTTATTCCGTGCGAGAATCGGAACCCGCGACACGTTGTACGGCAGCCGGTTGTCCAGCCACCGCACCAACCGTGCAGTCAAATACATATATATAAGATTGGTTTGTTTATGATGGTTTATTTACGATGTTATCTGGAATGTAATTCCTCCCCTAAAGGGACAAAAGGGTAGTAATTTTTTTTTACTAAAACACTTTTTATCTTACCACTACACCGATTTAAATAAAATTGGATATAGAGAAGGTCTGAAATACGAAAACATTGTATCACGTTTTTTAATTTTTAATTAATGCCACGTGACCGGGAAATTCGCAGTTCAAAACCCTCCATTTGTTATACGTATCACTGAATCAATTTGAGTGACATAGACTGGATAAAAGCACTGTGCTTTTATCACTTCTGTCCTCTATTTTTATTTCCAACATCCTATGGAGACGGTAACAAAACGTTACAATTCCGGGACTCTTAATCTATTAAACCACTGAATCTATTTTGTTAAAATTCGGTATAATAGATAGTTTGAGACCCAGGAAAAGATGTGTGATAGTTTTCATACCGGACATCTCACGGAAACGGGAACCGTGCAGTAAAATTTAGGGACTCTATCTTTAAATGACTGTACCTAATTGGTTGAAATTTGGTACAACGTCAGGGTGAGACCCGAGAAAGGATCGAAGAAGAAGTTTTTATCACGGAAATCTCACGGGAACAGGATCTTCATATCTCGGGACTTTTATATGTTAGACCACTGAACCTATTTGAATAAATGTGGTACAACGATAGTTTGAACCCCAAGAAAGGACATACGATAGTATTCATCCGGGAAATCTCACGGGAATGGGACCTAAGCTGTAAAATCCCGGTCTCTCTATCTTCTAAACGACTTTACCTACCTATTTAGTATTCATCCCGGAAATCTCACGGGAACGAAACCTAAGCTGTAAAATCCCGGGTCTCTCTATCTTCTAAACGACTGTACCTACTTATTTTATTGACATTCGGTACAACAATAGTTGAGACATGGGAAAGGACACAGGGTAGTTTTTATCATTAGTGACATTATCGTTAGTATCGCTTCTTGTACGTCCCCAATAGGCAATAAAAAAATTTTCTTCTGTTTTCAGATTCGTCAACGAATGCAAATACAAATAAATAATTTGCAAGAAAACTTCGAATTAGTAGAGATCAGACTTCGTGCTCTTCAAAATCAAGTAACATCTCTAAAAAATAGTTACACAGTAATACTTGCCGATAATGAAGAAATTACAGAAATAAACAAGATTAATACTACTTAAATTGAGTGTACCTCATTTCCCAGAGCTCTGTAACCATTTATCCCGTAACCATGATGCTATTAGCACAGTTGATGGAAAAATTGTGAAAAAATAGCAAAACAATCTGATTTAAATTGGAACATTATTAACAACCATTGATGTAGTACACACTAATTCCATTTAAGGTATGAAAATTGTATACTATACTAACAGAAATGTACAAAAAAATTGAATGTCTTTACAATTTATTATTAAACCGTTCATGTTTCTGATGTAGTGCCTAATTATTGTTTTATTTCATTGCCGAAATTAGCCACCTACACAAATCTAGTTCAACGTTTTTCGTGCACTATATCAGCGAATGATTGTACTTAGTTCTGCTTCGTGATAAAATCTTCAATGTAATTATAGCTGATAAGAACAATAGTCAGACCTACTACGAGACGAATTATTCATTGAATAAGTTCTACATAATTATTTATTAGCTCGAACAAATTGACTATTAAAATCGTTATGCTGTAGAAAACCAAACCTAGAAAAATAAGGGTTTTACCTCGGAAAGTGAGATACTCGGCAAAAAACTTGTACAAAATCTTTATTTTGATAACAAAGAACTCTTCCTAAAACCTACATATCGTAGGGTATCCACATCTATAGAAAGGGCATTGCGTAAAATTATTCATTTTTCTGGCGGCAGTCGACAATTTATGAAAAATATTGTCTAGAATGTCAATAATAATGAAATTTTCTATGGACTAACACAGTGTGACTCCCAAACTTAGTAGGAAGGCCCAAAAATGTGTGGAGCCGAATGATCTTCTTTCTATAGATGCGGAAGGCCTACGATAAGTAAGTTTAGAGATTTAGTCAAAATAAAGATTTTTCATAAGTTTTCAGCCGACAATCTCACATTCCGAGATCCTTGCCTTAATTCCCCTTATTTTCCCATGTTACTATTCAGGATGCTTGCAACATTTACCTAGAAAAGAAGAACGTAACGAAATAAATGTACGGAATAAAAAATGAAATAGATGTAGTCATTGCCATCGATAAGCCGATCTAATCGATTCTCCTCCCGATCACATAACTACCATTAAAGATGGTAGATAGTCGAGTTACTAGGTATCTATAAATGCGCACGGTGGTCTAGATAGAACACGATGTGTTCGCGTGCTAGTCACTGGTGGGCCAATTACACAGAATTGTGATTTACAAATGTCTCATTATAATAATGGCGAGCTGTGCTCCTTCAGTTATTTTCCCATATTATTTGGTTCGCATGCGTTTACAAGTGCGCAAATATTACGTGCACATTGCGTCCGCGATGGCCACACGCTGCGGTGGCTGCGATGCAGGCTGGCTTTGTTCGAGTGGCGGCGCGAGCGCACTGCGCCCTTGCTCGACTTGAGGCCGTGCCTCTCAACTTGCCTTGTTTAATGTCAACGCACCGCTAACTACACTACTTACACTTAATTTTTATTACATTTTTTAACATTTCAGTAGTTCTCTATGCTGTTATTGACTATGAAGTAAACCAGTTTGCGATTTACAATGCCTTAATTTGTTATCATGCGTTTTATTGCAAACTGCGATACTGGCGAAAGAATCATGAGATAATAGACTAATTTCTTACGTCATACAGGTAGGCACATCTTGGTCGCGATTGATTTGAACCATCAATGTGTTGGAATAGTAGTGACTATGTGACAAATGTTGAGTTTGGAGTTTGGAATAAGTATTATCAGATTCAAGACTTTAAAAAGAGGAACGATCTAAAAAATGGAAATTTGAAAAGTACAAAGGTGTCATTCATACTGTAAACATCGAACAGAAAATAGAAAAAGTAATATAACAACAGGTTAACTCGTCGTTAACAATATGCTAAGTCCCTTCATACAAGTTTAAAACGATATGAAACAGAAGCTAGGCCTTAAACTTAATGCGAATATTAAATTCCAACAATGACGTCTACAATTTAAACTTTGCACACGAGTAAAACAATAACGAGGTGCGAGATATAGCGTTACCTCGAAATGTAATAATAGTGCTAATGGAGCAGGAAGGAAGTAGGTACCACGGGCAAAACATTTAAATATATTTCAATGCCTTCCTTTTAGAAGAAAAAAAAAATGTTCTGGATTGTTTATTGTCTTAAAAGTCAATTAATGTTCTCTTTCTCACAATCCGATTAGGTTCGAAGACTTGAAAGCGGTCGTATTCCTCGGGGGCCCGCACAAATCTTATTACAGGTGTGCTTCGAGCAGGGCCGCTTCGCCCTCTTTGATTGCTTCGAACCTATACTTCCATTTATTTAATTTTGCGTTTAAATGTCTTTTGAATTTGATTGTAATATTGAGCTTGCGGCATGAGATTGATCAGACGACTTCTGATTATAAATGTGATTGTAAGTGATATTATGGAACTTTATATTTAGAGAGTATAATTTTTTTATCGCCTACAAATGAAGAAAAGTGTAATATTCTTAATGATAATGGTGCGTGTCTATTTAGTTAAATAATGTTTTATAGGTAAGTATGCAAGTAAGATTTACATTGCTTAATGTCAACCGTGTTTGAAGACTAGAACACCTGTATTTCGATAGAAAGTATGATAGAGAATCATCTTTGGTTAGGGTGAAGTTCCCTATGTAAGACGAGATCTTAAATGTATCTGTATTAGGTCAAATAAAACATCTTATTCCACGCAAACGCATATTTATTTTATGATTCATTTTTATATATTTTTGGTGCTCCATTTTTTATTTATTTGTGTTTCATTAAATTATAAATTAATACTAATAATAGTAAGGGACTCGAGAAACGGGCACAGGTTCCGTAAATGGGCAATCGGGATTCTGTGCAGTCTTCGAGACCCAGGCAATGAGCTGGCATAATAAATAATACAATAAGGTACAAAAAGGAATTCAACGAAGTACCATCGGATGGTTTTCACAATCGCTCGCACATACGCTCCACACACGCCAACAACAGTCTTACATCTATTATATCACTAGCTATACAGAATGCGGCGAGGCCGCGTGCAATGAACCATTGAAGTGTACTACGGGTAGGCTGATTACTCGAAATGAGAGTCCTTGAGCTTCTTGACGGCGTTGGTAAGGTGCAACATTTCGGTGTTCAGCTGCCAGATGAGTGTCTCCAGCTTGTCCACGGAGTCAAGCACCTCCACGCGCTCCGTGTGCGGGTTGAAGCGCACTTCGAAAGGACGCGACATGGTCGACACCCAGCGTCTGCGTCCACAAAGTTATACGTTAGTTACACATTAGACATTATGTCGTAGAGATGTAGTTCTTAATTATAATTAGTTCGATTAACTACCTGAATTTATCTTTGGCATCTTCAAAACTTTCGGCTACATAGTAGATCGGTTGATATTCCTGGTCCTGGTAGGGCTGTACAGAGGTGGATGCTGGCTCGAAAGGCCTCAATTCCGGCTTGTCACTGAGAGCATGCAGTAATTCGCCAATTGAGGACAAGAGAGCGGCACCGTACGCCTTCAGCTGTTGGTTCTCCTTGCACAGTCCGAATTCAACGGTGAACCAGTACACCTGAGCAAAGACAACATCGTTTATAATGCACCGCCATCGGGCGTATTAATGCAGCGACACTGTTAAGATATATTTCGCAACAGCTGGGCCCATTCACAAAATTTACATATTCGCATTGGCACAAATAAAATGCTGTGATCATGTTATTCGATTTGTTTTCAAAACATTAACTTACAGTAGAGAGCTTTTCAATTTCAGCGTCCGAAGCGCCAAGAGATGCGAGACCAATCTCTTGTGAGAACTGGGCGAAGCTGGGGTCAGCCAATAGAGGTATGTGTCCGAGGAGCTCGTGAATACAATCACTGCGAATTAAAAGATATATTTTAAACATAGCACTAGATAAGTAAAACAATAAAAGTATGTAAATTCCTTAACAAAGTTGGTAGTTGAAGTAACGATTCAAAACTATCGCCTTTGACGGCAGAGCCTTGGCTCATATTCATCATAAAGTGTAACTTTGTTATTAAATAAGTGAGCAATTCAATTTAACAAAGTTACAGTTCCATCACGACACTATGCGCGCCGACGCCGTCTCTTCGAACTCGCAAATTGTTTTATGTTCTGGGATGCTACATGTGAACGAATAGAAAAATATTAATTGTTTATTATTTCTATGCAAATAATTACTTCGGATGAAAATACTTGAGCTAGTTATTAATTAAGTGGTTTGTTCTACATAGGTTTATGATTTAGGTTAATTTACATAACAGCAACAAGGATTTGTTGCGTAATATTTCCGTAAAAGACGCGTCAAGGCAATAACTCTGAACCTAATTTAATTATCGTTATTGAATATCTCTGATATATCTACACTCGTTATTTCCGTGGTAGTGAGTGTAATGGAACTGGATGTTTAGTTAATTGGTGTTGATAGTATACAAATCAATATATTTAGAGATAAATTCAAATGAAAGTGATGCTTACGGTTCTGGGGTGTGGAACGGCGAGTTGGCGTGGCGAACGTACTGGGTCGACTGGAAGACACGGAATGCAAGGGAAGCAAGGAAGTCGCGAGCAGTGAGGAGACCAGCAGCAGGGCGCAGCGTGAACCCGGTGTGCTTGCGGAGGAAGTTGCTCACATCCTCGAGCTGAGGAATGTGTTGCGGCACGAAGATGTCTGCCGCCTGCAGTTTTCCAAATGCAATCTTGTACTCTCTGCAGGCGTGCTTAGGCATAAGATCCAATACAGTGTTGAATACTCGCTGCCAAGTAGCGTTCTCAGAATCCTTGTAGGTAATAGATGGGATTGGGTCTCCGTATTTGTAAGCGAAAGCGATTTCGGCTATTTGCTTCCTTCGCTCCCTGTAGTCCTTGTCCGCGAAACCAGGATGGTTCATATCCAATTCAGGTTCAAATTTGGTCATAAGGTGATTGCAGTTATCGAGATCCGAAGCATGGCGCGGGAACCATGGGGTTTTGCTTGAGATGTTGTTCTCAGATACGAGGTTAACTCCAGCGAAAGAGGTTGACTGTCGAAGAGATCTGATAAGTTGCAATAAGTTGATGCGAGACATGCTAACTTTGACGAGGGCATCGAATTGGACGCCGGTCAGCTGGGAAGGACGAGTTTCGAGATGCTGCACGCATCCCTTGTAGTTATCGATGGTCTTGAGGATGCGAGCCAGTGAGCCCATTCCATCTCGCATGCGTAGCAGTAACGCGGCTTGTTGCATAGCCTGCTCTGCCTCGGGAGATTCACTTGCTGCATTTTGCAGAATTATTTCTTCCTCGGTCAGAGTATAATCTGTAAATATTATGATTCATTGAATATTTTGCGACAGTTGAGTAAATTATCAGTCATAAATAGATGTCACAGTTTAAGTAATATACTGACCCTCGTCCGTTTTTCCAGCATCATCACCGATATCAGCATCAGCTAAATAATAAAATAAAAAAAAGAAATAAATAAACGAAAAAATAAAATTTAAAATAAGAGCAACAAAACATTTTGGAATAACAAAAACAATTACCGAGGTGACCATTCTTAGTCTCGTCTTGTTGGGTGCCATCTTCGACAGTCGGCGAGTTATCACCATTGCCAATAAGAATCCCGTCTTGGATAAAATCGGAATCCAAGCCAGAGTCTAAATAAAAAAAAATAAAGGAAAATAAAAATAAAATAAACAAAAAATAAATAAAGAAATTGTTACGAAAGAATAGAAAATAAAATTTGAAAAGTCCATTTGACGGTATTATTTTTATTACGGTGAATTTATTACGGTTTCAAAACCGAGATTATTTTCATTGCACTGTATAATACTGTATGAGTAATATGCTTTTATATGGGAGGGTTATTAAATCTCGTATTTGTGAAATGGGTTCAAATTCAGACATTAGTTTTCATGGTCGTGATTTTCCTGAAATTGTTTGTGTGGCCATGGCTTACCATTGGCGCGGGCGCGTGCTTCTTCCAATACGCTTTGTTTGGTCTGTTTGACAACCAGTGTCTCGAACCTGGCATCGTCTACGAGCGAGCGGCGACGAGACGGGTAACCGTTCTGTAACAACGTATTCGTACACATTTAGTACAATGACATTATGTCAATATTTAAAGAATATTTCGATCTGATGCGTTAATGACTGTTGATTTGATGTTTGATGATTGATTGATGTGATGGTAGCGTGAAATGTCTGTACCTTGACTGATTTCGTTTATTTATTATGTCGAGATAATACTCATAGTCAGCTGTGTTACTTATAAATCATTGTATTTTGTTGATGTCTTTACGTCATGTACTCATCGTCGGTATTGTAGTTGATGAATTGATAATAGTATAAATTGAATAGATTTTTAATTGATTCCATTTATAACTTCTTAGACTTATTATTGAAGTTATATTATCATAAGATCTGACCGCACTACAATCATAAAATGAAAATCCTAAAGCGTGGGAGAGAAAACGTCTTCACTCGAGCGAGCGAGCACAAAGGAGTCGTCTCTAAAACAGTTTGATCTTCTAAATCCTTATAAATATAAAGCGGTCACATCGCATTATATTTCATGTGAGAGTAGGAATTGCTTTTACGAAGTTCGTAAGCTTATTTCCTGAGTGTGGCCGGGTGTAAAGTGCTCCCATTATACCCGCCTTGCGCCTTGCTCCGGATGCGAAGTCGTGCGACTGAAATCTTTCAAAGGAACGCGACTTTCTGGTCCACTGCGCTCAAATGGAGCCAATTATACAGTTCGAGAGTTGTGACTACACGACTTTATTGTAGTGACAATGCGACGACGCTCGTTCATGTCTTTACTTAGCGCTGTCTCGAAACAAAGCACGGCACTTAATCACTCGACACTTTCATAAATTGATTTAAACTATTTTCTGTATAGTTGCACTTGTTCATAGATATTCTGTTCAATTCAACATTAAGTACATATACATCTACGAATCTTTCACTGAATGAACTTGAATATTAGAAATATTTGTGGACTGTTCGGTTTGAATATTGTTTTCTTTAGTGCAGCTGGTATGTGCTGTCGATGACAATGTAATTTCCGCCGCGTCGCTAAGGAGCGGCGTTGACGTGATGCTGGTCGAGTGCGCGGGCGTCGAGACCTAGCATTTTCCACTAGAGTGGCCGTGCGGGCCTAACTATGTATGTCAAGGGTTGCGCTAATCACTCACTATTGTTACCGAGCCCCTGAAATGCAACGAAGTTGGTAATTATGCGACCTAAAGGAGTTTTTCCGGACTTTTTCTTGTGAGAGTAACTAACAGAGTCCTCGCAACTACTGGCGAGCGTTACAAGACTGCGGAAACGGTGTCGCGCGCTGTATTGTGAATTTAAAGGTCCGCCTAACTGGAGCGGACAGGACTCGGAATCCGGTTGTTTTAGCCTTGGTGTGCCCGAGTGGCCACTTCACCATTCCAATCGGTCGGCGGGTAATTAAGCCAAGCCAGAGTGTGCCGCCCGTCGACCTGTATCCACCCTCCGACGTACTCGGCCATATCTACGACCACTTAATCAATTTGACGTTGCAGAACATTAATCTAAGCATTTTATTGTTTCGGCATGCACGACCGTCGAGAAGAATAATTATGTCTACCTTCAATTTGATCTTGGAGTCACGATGTGTTAAACTACAGTGATACGTTAGCATTGTGAATAGTCTGCACAGTTCATCAACAAGGAAATTTGAGTTTGTTTTAATATAATGTATTTAAGTAATCGTTTCAATTAATTTGCACTAACGATTCATCAGATTGCACTAAGTAAGTTGCATTGGTCAAGGGCATACCTGAATGACCTCGATACTATTGTATATCGAGCTCCTAGGTTTTGCGTGACGATGTCTAATTAATTGTGAATCAAGTGCAACCGTGCAAGAAAAAATCGAGCCGGCATATTTTCATTTTGTTGTTCAGCTTCGATTTTGGTACATTCAATGATATTGTGACAAGTTAATTGTGCCCATCGTGTCACTTGATAGAATTTTAACGATCTTTGCTGACTATAGCGGAGACGGTGAGCGTCGCACCGCCTTGCATTCCGACCTTCGACGGTCAAGGAAATACAATCATTCAGGTGCCAATAATAAAATAAGCAATAATAATATAATCATAGCATGATGGACACGTACAGACCTACTTATTCGTCGCACAGCAAATTTAAATATGAAGAAGAAATATTGATTTGATCGCAATGCAATTCAGAGGATGTACGCGTTTTATGTTTTAGAAATTTTATTTGGGTCACAATTTTGCAAACATCACTTGTTGCATACAAACTCTGACATAATTCGCAGAAAAACTTCGCACGAGCTTTAGATATCACCTCCACCATTAGCTGAAGAGTACGACGAAAATATTATTCAAAAGTAAACAATCAACAGGTGATTATTTAACACAAAGTTGCTTACGTGAGGTAACGGTTACGATGCGACGTGACGACGTGTTGAATATTCACAATGCTAATTAATCCGCTAATAAACAATGAAGAGATTGATAAGAATTGTTGTTTTTTATTGTAGTAGGTAAGTTGTGTAGGGGTCTTAGACACTCGTCTTATGTGGAACAATGACTTATTTAGAACATATTGTTGTGAATCTTGCGTATTTGTCACACGACTCAGCGATTTCGCCGAGAAAGTGTCTTTGTCATATAAACAGTGTTATAATTACAGGCCACTATAATTATGTGGTACAGACCCTGTCTACATCGCGTAATGAGACCGAACTCTCAAGTTCTATGGCAATTGTTATGGAGGAATTTTAAATACACTATTTATTGTAATTACGGCCTAATTTATTTTACACACTTCACTTTCTCACATATAAACACACATATTGTTACGAGATCTACAGAAACCGTTTTAGTTGTTTTTAGACGTATTTTATGTAAATGATTTGAAAATTGCATCGGTCAGTAAACATTGTTGACGTTCATTGTTGCAGAGTGGCACAAGGGCAAATTTGACATGTCAATAACTGATGACAGACTGATTATCATCTATTTCTCGACAGGAGATTGATGGGTAATTAATGCATGCGATTGATTTAGTTTGATTTTTCATTGAATGGTTCACGTTAAAGTTGCGCGGCAAAACATTTCATCACTTTCGTAAACAAAACTTTACTTACATTTAAGTTGGTTCAAGTACACTGTAAAGGTACAAGTTTCTTTGTTTAAGTCAGCCAAATAACTAGTAAATTAATTATACAGGAATTGCTTCACGATGCGTTTTTTATTTCAATTATCTTGGCTACTGTCAGGGTCCATAGTTAATTAAATTTGCTTTTTAGGACATCGCAATATTATTTCTAATAAACATAAATGTCTATTAAATTACTGATATGACACTGATATTAAAATTATAATAATGATCACTTTTTAAACTTTATTACTATTGCTTTTTAAATCCTTTATTTAATTAAACTTTAAAATATTTCGAGTGTTTATTTATTGAACGAAATATTTATTAAGTTTGCACGAATATTAAACTATTGTGAAAAGATAGTTTTGGAAACAAATTGAAGAATATTTTTTCTGTATGAAAGCGGGAATAATATTTGTTTGAAGTTGTGGGTAGTAAAGCGGTGGCAATGTGTGGGATGAATGGAAGTAGTAAACGAGCTGGCAACGCGTTGCAGAGAGCGGGCCGGGCCCTGCTGCTGCAGGCGAGCTCCTCACCTCGATGCTGTATGACTTCTTGATGGCGAACATTTCGCGGTTCTTCTGAGCAGCTGCGACGGCCATGGCTTCTCACGACACACCACTGGTATTTGAAGGGCCTGAACGAAGGTTCACTGCGCGATTAGCTAGCGTATTGTCTGCGAGAGCTTTTTTGTCTCGACCACGGGCTTTGTGCCTGTCTGTCTGCGACTCGAGCTGTCGTATTACTATAGCTAACTAAACTTTGGATTGCAAACAGACCAATGCATGATGACCGTTCGTAAGAACAGTTTAAATAGTGTTAGGCGCGCGCCTCCCACCCCGCAGCGCCTTTCGTCGCGCATGCGTCATTATCCTCGCCCCGCGCGCCGCTCGAGGCCCCCGTGCCTCCTGACGTTTGCCGCCGGCATCCCCCGGTCCTGAGCCTGCATCATCAGCTCCGTCTACCCACAACACACCTACAGCTCCATATTCCCCAAACATCTTTTCATATTCCGCCAGATCCTAATTTAGATCCTGGTTCGGAAATGGCCTTATTAAACTCGGAAGTAAACTAAGGCAATTATAAAATAAATAATTGTGACATTATACACGAGGAAAACAGAATTTGATTAAATACTTATAATTGAATTGATTCCGTTGTGTATTTATTGTTCTAGTTGTACTTAAATTATTATATATTGATCTTGTGGGATAAATAAGTAAATAAATCATAAATTTAATAATGAATTTTAGAAAACATGAAACACAGATTTTTTTAAATTAATTTTGACAACAACAAAATTCACTTTTAAGGCATAAGATTAACAAAATAAAAAAAAACTATCAAGGCGAAAAGCGTAAATAACAATGAGAAACGAGTTTGCGGTAGTTACTCAAGAGATTCCTGGAAGCGCCCTCAATGGTAGGTTTTGCCCGTGACGCGTAGCGCCGTAGGCCCAGTGCTACGAACCCATCGCATCCACAGGAATTACCTACAACCGGTCGCGACGTACCTACCAACATACCCTTTTTATTTTATAACAACAATTATATTTATTTTACGACAATACATTAACGAAGAGTTTATATACCACTACCGCATCACTGCTGATCACTAGCAAGATATACGTGAAGCAAAATATACTCAAAATATTACCGTACTGATAAGATTTTCGTATAACAGTAAGTGGTTTTCTTATCACACTATTACAAGATGAAATTGTATTTTAATAGATGTTTATTTTAACGCCACGTGGCCCGTGTTTTCCAACTAAAAAAAAGATTGAGTAGTTTAATTCCCAAATTATTTAATTAGGTTTTGATATATCACATTTGTTTGTACCTCTAATTAGGTCATCCATAAGATCAAGTTATATGGTTTAAATTAAGAGTTAAAAATAATTGTTTTGTGAAGTAATTTGATTTTTTTTATTTTACATTAATGTTGAATAAAGAGTGTAAACAAATAATTAATGATGAATGCCATTTATTACTGTGTTGTACCTTTTTAATATATTTCATTAACGTCATAGGTTAAATATTTATATAATTAAAATAGATCGTTGATGCTTATTCTAAAGATTAGTTAATATTAAGGAATAGTAATTGAAATTGAATTTGAACACTGTCTCTTAAAATACAGGATATCCTAGTTTAAGAGGCAGGGTTACTATAATTCTGTACAGAAATCTTTGCAACAAACTGGAATGCCTAGAATTAGTCCACCCACTTGTTATGTCTACTTATGTACATTTCTGTAACTTTTTGCTAAATAAACTTTATTATTATTATTATTATTATTATTTGTTTATACAGAATATAAGCGGAAAGCTCCCGAAAAGCCGACAGGCGACGGTCAAAGATCAGATTTATTTTCGTAAAAGTGAGGAATTACTTATTAATTGTTTGTTTTATGTAATAATAGTTGTAATTGACCGCTCAAGGCTAATGTTGGATGTATAACATAACACGTAAACAAATACGATTACAATTATAAAAACTACTTCTTTTGTCAGCATATTACGGGAGCATTACGTAGACATTCTGTATAGATTGCAACGATTATCAAGTAGTTGCTAGCGTGAATGAGTTTCGAGTTTCAATCCGAAAGTCAAAGTCAAAATCATTTATTTCAATTAGACCAGGAAGGTACTTTTGAAAGTCAACAACAAAAATTAAGAAGTTAAGAAGCTAGTTTCTCATTCCAAGGTAGATTCATATGGAGAAGAACGAGCGAGAAACTCCATAGGTTAAGTGGGTTTACAATCATAGTATCCTGGATCGAGCATTATAAAGTAGCAAGTATTATGAATTGTACCAATTAGGAAAACTGTCCATTATACTGCTAACACAGTTAAATACCGACTAAGTAAAATAATCGCATATTCGCATAATATTTACAATCCATCGTAATGTATATGTAATGCAAACAATTTATGTTTAATATACATAAATCTACTACTACTTCACCTGAATCTTTTGTTAAAAGTAGAAATAAAGTTTTTCATTTATCTATGGATATTAAATTGACACATAACATAACTTCACGCCTTTTATCCCCGAAGGGGTAGGCAGAGGTACACCTCTATTACATTATTACATTACGGCACTTAATGCCACTGTACAATGTAACACCCACTTTTCACTATTTATGTCATGAGTCCTATGTAATAGGGGGTGAGCCTATTGCCATATACTGGGCGCAACTCCAGACTCCGTGCTACTATTGAGAATTTTAAAAACCCAATAGCACTTTGCCCGACCCCGGATTTAAACCCGAGACCCCTTGTACCCGGTAGTCACACTTGCGACCACTCGGCCAACAAGGCAGATATTAAAATAAATAGATATGGTGTATTTTTTTTATTCGATAGTTTGACATTTGGCCACCATTTCGGTATCTCTCGTCTCGTCTCTATGAAATTAAGTCTTATTGAAATAATTTAAATAACACATTTTCCCGTGTTTAAATCCAAAAGCATTGTAATATGCATTTGGGTTACATACATACATTTACAAAATAGTGAGAAAAATAATTAAAAAATGTAATGTGTCCTGTAAACGGAATAGTTATGATGCACCTTAAAAATCGTAAAGCACTCTTAAGATGTCCTTGTCCTATTTCAGTTACTAATGCAGCATTTATAACATCAGTGCCAACTAAATAAAGATCGCAAAAACTGCCGTAAAGATTAATAAATAATAGAACAATTGACAGCTATATTGCAATAGGATTAAATTCGAAGAAAACCATTATTTTAATAAACGTTACTTTATTGTCCACTATAAATTATTTTGATCGTCAAAAGACAATGAATGAAAATGTGTTGTAAAAACTTAATGTAGATAATGTTATCCTTTATTAATTGTTATTATGTTTCATTCATTAAGTTTATGATAATAAGGATAAACTAAGCATAATAGATTTTACTGCGGCTTCGGTCTATAATAATTATCCCACAGACTTAACCTTTTGATAAAGATCTCATAGGTATCGTTCTTAACTTTTTAATCCAAGAACCTAACGGGTAACCGGGGCTCCGGCTCGACGTGCCGGAGAAGGAACGGGGTGGTTTTTAGTCAGTAAGAGTCTGACAATCCCTCCCGCCTCACCCAGGCGGGAGCAGTCATACGATGATTTCCCCCCCCCCTAAAAAAATCATGAAAAATCCACAACATTTGTTCATACAAAAGTAGTCTCTAAACACAGTTAAGACCACAGAACATAAAGAAGGTTAAGACCCCAATCTCCGTATACCATAATACAGATAAAGTTACTTCTGCATTTAAAGTACGAATTTGGGTAGTGGTAATAATGCGCATCAATCAAGTTCATTGATACATTTCTTATCCAAAATTATAAACATTGTGATTACGTAAACGCTTGCATACGTCGTGGTGGCCCGGAGGTTTAAGACTGCCGCTTTTCGTGCATGAGAGCGCGGGTTCGAAACCTACCAAAACCAATGTGAGTTTTTCCGAGTTAAGTATATGTGAGCAAGCGTAGTGATTACTGCTCAACCTTTTCCGTGTGAGAAGAGGCCTTTGGTCAACAGTGGCAATGTGGAACACTTGAATCATACTTGTACAGCATACGATTAGGAGCAAAATATCGAACTAATTAATGCATACACAATGGCGTATACGACCACAATGTTGAGGTGTCGACTGAGCTAATGACAGTCATCTCAGGGTAAATCACAAAAACCACGTTATTCGACAAACACCATTACGTGAGTAACACACTTTATGCGACGTCGATCAATGCCAAAACATGCCTTTACGTCACATCAGCTCGAATATTATAATTAGAAGGCCGCACCGGATACCAGTAATTCTAATAAGTTGTTACGATAATTTTTTCGAAAATCGATTCGGTTATTCCGATGTCTATGTTGTGACGCTAGAATCGATTAATTAGGGCAGTATATGAATAATCCCCCATTATGATAATAGACTCTGTATGTGCAATAGTTTATGCTAATTTGTTTGCTTGGTCGGATTTTATGACGAGTTACGGTCGGTTCTTTTTTGTTTCCTCACTGTGTGAATATTTTGCTTTTATTATTTATTCATAGGATTGGTGTGATTAATCGGCGAACTATTAATTTGCCATAAAAAATTAACAGTGATTTTCTTTACGTAGGCGTGATTTTTGTGCAGGTGTCGTATTTCAGTAAATGCGTCTAGATTTATTTTTAATTCAAGGTCAATGTGGTCATTATTTACAAAAGTAAATATTTACTTCGGTTTACCTTTCTTTTTTGCGGTAGCGACATCGAGACTAAGTAGTTTAGCACTTAACATAAATAGACAACTCAGGGTTTTTTTATCATTTCCGCTTTCATTTTTCGGCGGGTACAGATGATAATCTTTGTAAAACAATGCAAAACGTTACAGAGTAAGTTAACTAATTATTTATTAATGCAGTGCTAGAGAGTTTAAGCTGTAGACCACTCTAGTTCTAATCTATTCTAATCTTCTAATAAAATTAAAGTAGGTCTAAACTACTGTAATTTATATTAAGCTGGATCTACAATAAACATGTTCTTTCACACTTTTACAACGTAATGCATTCTTCAGAACGTTGACATGGCTATATATGGTCTCGGTTCAATGTTCTTAATATCGTGTACTTTGGCCATCATTGTACCTCGTTATATGACAAGTCACTGGTTTCAACAATGCCTACGTGATCGTTCGCCAAATTAAAGTTGCAAATTTAACAGGCAGGTACTTAAAAAAACGGAAGTATATAATTATGAATGCGTTCGTTTTTATT